ATTTATTCTAATTATGTTATTAATTCTCAAAACACTAATAAAACTGCCTTCTTCAAATTGCAGCCAGAGACAATTTATTAAGCATTAAAAAGAAACCATTTGGGGGGTTTTTTCAAGATGGCGGTGGACTAGGACGGAGCAGATACCAGTTCCTAGTACAAAAGAGACAGAAACCTATCCGATTGGAGGAGGTAAGGCCAGCAAGCCAGCAGTTGCCAAGCATATATGAAAATAAGAGACCAGAAACCTCATCAGTCACGGAGGAACCAGACGAGTCACAATCAACTTGAAAATATGAAAAGACCAGAGCTGGACCCATAGAAGAGGCCTCCCAATAGTAGAGTCAGAGAGACAAATTGCACATTGTTGTAGGAGAGAAGCCACAAGTTGCTGCATATTTGAGTAGGTGGAAGCAGAGAACAACAGGATAACCAAAAGAGGCTGCACCATTAAAATTCACAGGCATTCTGCCACAAAAGTTCATACCATAAACCCAGGGTGTCAAAACAGATTAATCTAAGAAGCTGAGGCTAACAAGAAGAGTCTCACAAACAATGGGAAGACAAAGAAACAATCCCCAAAATGAAAGGAAAGGAGGAATCCTCAGAAAGAATGTTAGATGAAATAGAAGCAAGTCAACTATCAGATACTGAATTCAAAGCACTGGTTATCAGGAAGTTCAAAGAGCTCACAATCAGCTACCAGAAACTACAGGGAAGCTACAATGATCTCACTGTGAACTATATCAACATGAAAAAGGAAATGGAAATTATTAGCAAGGGCCAAGAGGAAATGAAGAATACGATTTCTGAATTAAAAAACACAGTGGAAAGCATTAAAAATAGGGTGGATGAAACAGAAGATCGGATTAGTGAATTGGAGGACAAAGTAGAAAGCATCTCACAGAAAGAACAGGAAAGGGAAAAGAGGCTCAGAAAGAATGAAGAGAGATTAAGAGAAATGCAAGACAATATGAAACGTAATAATATCCGAATAATAGGAATACCAGAAGGAGAAGAAGAAGAACAAGGGATAGAAAACATATTTGAAAGAGTAATGAGAGAAAATTTCCCTAATTTGACAAAAGAAAAAGTCACACAAATCCAGGAATCACACAGAGTCCCATTCAAGAGGAACCCAAAGAGGCCCACTTCAAGACACATCATCATTAAAATGGCAAAATTCCAAGACAAAGAGAGAATCTTAAAGGCAGCAAGGGAGAAAAAAGAAATAACATACAAGGGCGTCCCAATAAGGTTAGCCACTGACTTCTCAATGGAAACACTCCAAGCAAGAAGAGAATGGCAAGAAATATTCCAAGTAATGAGAAACAGAGGCCTACAACCAAGGCTACTTTACCCAGCAAGGCTCTCAATCAAGATAGAAGGCCAAATAGAGAGCTTCCAAGACAAAAGAAGTCTAAAAGAATTTGCTGCCACCAAGCCAGCTCTACAAGAAATACTAAAAGGTCTGCTTTAAGGAAAGGAAGGAAAAGAGACAGACATAGAGGAACACAGGTACAAAAATGGCAATGAATAAGTACCTATCAATAATAACCTTAAATGTAAATGGATTAAATGCTCCAATCAAAAGACACAGAATAGCTAAATGGATAAGAAAGTATGACCCACACATATGCTGCCTACAAGAGACCCACCTCAGGACAAAAGACCTACACAGACTAAAAGTGAAAGGATGGAAACAAATTTTCCAAGCAAATGGACAAGAAAAAAAAGCTGGGGTAGCAATTCTCATATCAGACAAAATAGACTTCAAAAAAAGAGCCATAAAGAGTGACCCAGAAGGTCACTTCATAATACTCAAGGGAAGAATCCACCAAGAAGACATTAACATCATAAATATATATGCACCCAACATAGGAGCACCAAAATATATAAGGAAAATCTTAGAGGAATTCAAGAAAGATATAGACAGCAACACAATTATAGTGGGGGATTTTAACACCCCACTATCAAAAATGGACAGATCTTCCAAACAAAATATCAACAAAGACATTGCGGCATTAAACAACACCCTTGATGAAATGGACCTAACTGATATATACAGAGCTCTTCACCCCAAAGAAGCTAAATACACATTCTTTTCAAATGCACATGGAATATAGAGACACTTCTCTAAAGAGGACATACAGAATATCCAGAGACACATGAAGAGATGCTCAATATCATTAGCTATCAGAGAGATGCAAATTAAAACCACAATGAGGTACCACTTTACACCAGTCAGGATGGCTATAATAGACAAAGCAACAAACAACAAATGTTGGAGAGGGTGTGGGGAAAAGGGGACCTTAGTTCACTGTTGGTGGGATTGCAGACTGGTACAACCATTATGGAAAACAGTATGGAATTTTCTCAGAAAAATAAAAATTGACCTGCCTTTTGACCCAGCAATTCCACTGCTAGGATTATACCCCAAGAATCCTAAAACATCAATTTCAAAGAACCTATGCACCACAATGTTCATAGCAGCACAATTTACAATAGCCAAGAGTTGGAAGCAACCTAGGTGCCCATCAGTAAACAAATGGATCAAAAAATTGTGGTACATATACACAATGGAATTCTATGCAGCAGAGAGAAAGAAGGAGCTACTACCTTTTGCAACAACATGGATGGAACTGGAAAGCATTATGCTGAGTGAAATAGGCCAGGCATTGAAGGACAAATACCATATGATCTCACCTTTGACAGGAAGCTAAAGAATAAAACAAACAAGCAAACAGAATAAAAACAAAGACACTGAAATAGAGAACAAGTCGGCAGCGACCAGAGGGGGGAGGGAAGGGAACTTAAGGGGAAAAAGGGGGAGGGATTTTGAGGAACAAGTATGAAAGACACAGAGATGAGGACTGGGGGGGGGGAGGAATGGGAGGGAAGGGGGAGACCGGGCGGGGGGGTGGGGTGGGATGGGAGAAATAGATTTAAAAAAATGTACTTGAAAAGTAACTAAATAAAATTTAATATTAAAAAAAAAGAAACCATTTTATTTTATCACTGATCCTAAATGGTATTTCCCAGATTGAGTTCCCACTCCCCTCCCATCTGCGATCTGTCAGTCTGTTCCGTGTGTCCATGCCTCCGGTTTTGTTTTGTTCATCAGTTTATTTTGTTCACTAGATTCCATAGATCAGTGAATCATATGGCGCTTGTCTTTCTCTGACTGGGTTATTTCACTTAGCATAATACTCCCCAGGTCCATCCACGCAGTTGCAGAGGGTAAGGTTTCCTTCTTTTTAACTGCTGAGTGGCATTCCATTGTAAATGTACCACGGCCGCAGCGTGTGGAAGGGGGGCCAGCTCTTATTGAGTCTCTGCCCTTCCTACCATTCTCAACGTAGCTGCATCTCTAAATCCTTCTGTCAATGATTTTAATCTTTCTGATTCCAATCCTTCACCATTATGGCCATCGATTATTACCCCTTTTTACAAATGTAAGGATGCCAAAGGTTACTGATGTTTCTATAAATGTAGGAACATTTGTCTCTACTGTATACTGGGCCAAATGGCAATACTTCTAAATTTTTTGTTTGCAGTTATAGTTTTTATCTCAATATTTCAGCTGCCATTCCTTCATGTTATTAGTAAACCTGGCTCTTGCAAATTTCCTGCTTCTAATATGCTTTGTGCAAAGCAACCACATAATTGCAAAATGGCAGAGAGAGGTCATGAGATGAAAGGAAGAGTCATATAACTACAAGGTGTATGTATAATCTTTGCAAAAAGCAGGTGATTGGTGTGGCAGAAAAAGAAGAAATGGTGGGTAGTAATCAGCTCTGTAGCTGTTCATCTTATGTAATCAAACAGAAGTTAATGTAAATCATCCTGGATGAACCGGAGACAAGACTTGTTCCCCTGTGAACTAGACAGATGCCCCGCTAGCCTAGACTACAGATAGATACAACCCAGGGCAAAGTGTTAGGAGAAAATTCTGAGACAACAAACCTTATTCTAAGCTACATAGTACTCATTCCTGGGGCCCCACTACCAGACTCTTCCTCAGCAAATAGTTGCCTTCATAAAGAAATTTTTTAAAAGATTTTAATTCTTCTACATCAGAAAGCAGCAAAGTACTCACAAGATGAAATGAATATAAAAAATAAGCTAAAAGATAAAAATGATAGAAAGACTGAAAAACCAATAGCCTAATATGCTTTCTGTGCACAGAGAATAATGTACGACAAAAATTCTTGCCCTTAAGGAAATTGTGTTCTTCCAGAATTTAATAATTATATCAGTAAATGTAAATGGGATAACATCTTTTATTAGAGACTCCCAGATCTGATGAAAACCAATAGAACAAACCCCAAATTTGTGCTATATATCAAATAAGCATTTAAAGCAAAAGGACTTGGAAAGAATGAGCAAAGACAGGCCAGGCAAATGAAAACAGAAAGACAGAGAGTAGGGTTGAGATGCTAAATTCAGCTGAGATGCTAATTTAATGACAACTTTACAGCAAACATATCTAGGAAGACTGGGTAAATGTTCTTCTTAGTATCCTTGGTACTGCCTCAACATCAGGGCTATCTGTGCTTATGGAAAATCCTCAGGAAGAAGTGCTTACAAACAACAAAGAAAAGAAAAGAGAAACCAGTAAAAGGGAAAAGTGATATAAAAAGATTTTTCTCTATTAGAAAACAACAGACCACCAATTACTGGCCCTGGCAAAATTCAATCAAGTACCACACATGGCCTTTTTGAGTCTTCAGTAAAAATCGAACACCAGATGTAATGTGGGTTCCATCTCTACATTCATTCACTAACTGTATGACTTTAAGCAAGAAATGTAACCAATTTAAGCTTAGTTTGATGCTTATAAAGTGAGGTGGTAAGATGTAATAATCTTTTGGGTAAAATACATCTTTGATCCTGGGACTTCATCGTTATTAAAATATGTAGGGCTGTGATGTCTCAAATATACATGGAATTCTGACATGAGCATAAAACATTTTTTGGAGAAATTATTCTTGACTGCACCTGTCACGTTTCAGTGTTACAACCTCCTCCTTCATCTGACTCAAAAGAGTTTGGGTTATCTCCAGTTCATTTTCTGCAAGGTTGAGTCTCCTTTTTATGTCTTCTTCTTGCCTTTCTTTTGTGGTCAGTTCTTCCTGTAAAGTTTTATGCATTTGTTGACAAGCCACTAAAGAGTCTTCTTTTTCTTTAAGCAATCTGGTGTGCCTAAGAAGGAATAGAAAAAATTCCATTAATATGCATTAGATACTATATTTCATGTTTAGCAAAGGTATATGAAAATCCCATTTGAGATAACAGACTATAACTTATAAAAATTAAAAAGGCTAGAAAATGAATAGTTCTGTGATATTAAAATTTTCCCATCTAGGCAGAGGCAAAAATCAATAAATAGCTTCAACATATTATAAACTTGAATTAGGTAATGTATATGTAAATAATATAATAAGAAAAACTAAACACATTTTAAATAAAATATTGTTTAAAATATGGTTTCAAGTATTAAAAACTATTCATTAGAAAGTTTGCAAATATATACCTTGACTCAGAAATAATGGATTCAAACTTCAGTTTTCTGAGTTTTCTCTGGCAGTCATCAGCTTCATTAGACTTATTCCTAAAAATAATACAGAAGTGGTTCAAATAATTTATTTCAAAATAGTGAAAGTATAACTGTTTTCCTTTTTTAAACATGTTTTTTCTTTATTACTTTTCTTATATTCATATTCTATTTGTGGTTTTATATGCAGATTTCCTTGAAATTACAAATATATAGTCAAAGGATTTTTCTTTGCCAAAAGAAATCTGTTAGTCTGACTATAGGTGTTTTTCTTTATCATTACTTTATTTAGAAACAATTTTTTATCATATTCATCTACTTTTATAATGGCCAAGTAAGCTCTTATCAGACTGATCTTCAATCAAATGTAAAGTCTAAACTCTGGATAACATTTCTGAAATACAGAAAACCCCCTATGTGAAGGTACTGGAAAAGTGACCAAAAGCATGCAGATTCTGGAGGGAAGTCCACACTTGTACTGAGGCGACAGCATGATACCAGGTTTTTGTTTGTTTGCTTAATGGTTTTACACTTATGGCAGGCTCCAGTCTGCACCACGTAGGGAATGCTAAAATTCTAGTAGCAAACTGGTTTCAAACTCAGTCATTATGGCCTGAAGAAACTAGAGGACAGTGTGTGGGGAAACCCCAGCTGCTGTAAAGTAAAGGGTGGACCCTGAAGAGGTGAGAGCCCGAGAAAGAGAGTCCTACATACTGCACATAAACTCTGCCCACGTGTTTGGCTGAGCTCGGAACTACATGAGCACAGGGCAGATCCCAATTAGCCCTCTGATATTGGAGCTTCTGCCCTAGAGATATACTGCAGTTTGAGGCCAAACAAATTGATTGTCTGCTTAAAGCAATACTACCCCCATAATTATTTGGAGAAATGTAACAGAATCCAGAATCTCCATTACATGAAATTCACAATGTCCAGAATAAGAATTATTCAACATAGAAGAAACAGAAAAGCATAACCCATTCTCAAAAAAAAAGTTAATAGAGACTGACTCTGAGATGAACTAAATATTGAAATTAGCAGCCAAGGATTGTTAAAGGAGCAATTATAATTCTGCTCATAGAATCTAATTAATGAAAAGATTTAAAAACCTTAGCAGAGAAATAGAAACTATTAAAAAGAACCAAATGGAAATTCTAAATCTGAAATAAACATTTGTCTTGATCTTATATACGTGGGTTTTGAAACAATACTCAAAAGGCGAATGTACAAAGAAAGACTAATATTCCAATAAAATATGATAAAATTATAAGATATAGAAAATTACATTAAAATACATAATATAATCAATTGCCATCAGGATAACACTCTTGTAACTACCATCCAGGTCAAAAAATAAATATTCACTGTTACCCTAGAAGCTTCATGTTCATGCCTCCAGCACAGCAAAGTCCCTTCACCCTAAAACAAAATTCTCTTCTATTTTATGGTAGTCACTTTGATTTTCTTTGGAGTTTTATGACCCAAGTTTTATCTCTGAACACTCTATTTTAGTCTACCATTTTTTTAAGAAAAAAATGCCTTTATAAAATGTTATTTCCTTTTTCTCATTTTTGTAAAATGGTTTTATTAAGGCATTGTGTTGACATACAATGAACTGCATACAATTTGATAGGTTGGAACAAAACCCAACTAATGAAACCATCACCGAAATCAAGTATCCGAGGAGTATACTTAGAGCACTGACCCTGGTCTCTAATACAGTTCCCCACTCAAGGGAAGCAGGACTACTCAGAGAGATGGCTCACCCCAAGGGTGGGGCAGAGTAGGTGTATCTGAAACATCTTATGCCAGAAAGGAAGAAAGTGTTTATAAAAGATGATGGTATCATGTTCTGATGTCACATGAGCCAGATTGAAGGGACTCACTAGCTAAGTCTAGGACAACCTGTGTACCAAAATAATTAAGTACAGTAATAAATTACAAACCCTTGAAAAAATAGAAATTCATGAGTCCATACCAATAATATATTTTTTTTAAACGGGAAGAAGGAAAGCTCTTGCTTACACTAAATTGCTGAGGGCTGACTAATAAGTGGGGAGGGAGGGCTGGAGTTGGGAAATCATCACTTAGCAACCTCTATAGTAGAGATTGGAAAAAGCAAAAATCATGAATGGTTACTATAGCTAGGTATAAATTTTGATGAGAAGCAGAGTATTTGGAAGTGTTTTCAAGTAACGTATTAGGAAAGAAGGAATCAGGGAAAAATTGGCATGTTGTCAGTAAATTGGCCAAGGCTCTGCTCAGTCACATCACAAAGGAAAGAATACAAAGAGCCAAATATACAGGGATATAATTTTTAGCAATTCAACTAGTAACCTTTTTTCTTTTTTAGTTGTAATACCTAGTATTGGCTAGGAGATATGGGTATTTCCAATTGCTGATGAGTTTGAAAATCAATATAATCTTACTGCAGAACAATGAATAATTATGCATTAAAAACCTTAAAAATATGCAAGTTTGGTTCTAGCAAAAACCCTAAAGATATAATTATGTGTGAGTAGAAAGATTTATCTCTATAAATTTTTATTTTATTTTTTTAAGATAAAAAAATTACTGTTCAAGTCATTTTCTGTCTTTTACTCCCATCCCAGCCCACCCTCCCAGTGCTCCCCACCTCCCTCCCATTTCCACTCCCCTCAGTTGTTGTCCATGTGTCCTTTATACTAGTTCCTGTAAATCCTCCCCCTTTTCCCCTGAAATTCCCTCCCCTCTGGTTCCTGTCCCTGTTCTCTATTTCAGCGTCTTTGTTTTTATTTTGCTTGCTCGTTTGTTTTGTTGTTTAGCTTCCTGTTAAAGGTAAGATCATATGGTATTTGTCTTTCAACACCTGGCTTATTTCACTCAGCATAATGCTTTCCAGTTCCATCCATGCTGTTGCAAAGGGTAGTAGCTCCTTCTTTCTCTCTGCTGCATAGAATTCCATTGTGTATATGTACCATAGTTTTTTGATCCATTCATTTACTGATGGGCACCTAGATTGCTTCCAGCTCTTGGCTATTGTAAATTGTGCTGCTATGAACATTGGGGTGCATAGGTTCTTTTGGACTAGTGTTCCAGGGTTCTTAGGATATAATTTTTTAGAACTTAGCTTCCCTTTTATTTTTATTGTTTTCATGGCAGTAAACGATAATGACATAGTTTTCCAAAGCAAATGCACCCTCAATTTTAAAAGATTCATTTTATTTATTTTTATTTTTTACCTTTATTGATTTTTTCCATTACCATTTAGCTCCCTCATAGCCCTCGATTCCCCAGCAATCACCACACTGCTGTCCACGTCCACAATTCCTTTCCCCTTTTCCCTCAGTTCCTCTACTCCCTAACCACCCCCACTAGCTACAACGTATTTTACTTATAAAAATAAAAAAATTGGAAATTCTATAGAAACAAAGGATTAGTAAACAAGTTATGGTTTATCCATAGATTGAAAGGCCATATAGCCATTAAATAATAATAAGTGTATCAGGTAATGATTGGGAAGAGATCACTGAGTAAAGATCATAGATCACTAGGTAAAAATGTTTAAAAATTACATTATTTATAAAAATGAACTATAAGGATAGATTGTAATGTAATAACAACAATGTCTTTTTAAATACATTCCTGTATTTTCCAAGTTCCATACATTTGCTTTGGAATCAGACAGGAATGTTACTTTAAAGAGTGCTTTGAGATTCAGCAGCCCCAGCACCACATTCAGGTTGTGTTCAGGCTCACGCACACACTTTACCAAATCTAGAGGCAGGGGCGGAAGGAACCCTTTAGTAGTTCCTTTAGTAACTATGTGGACAATTAATCTGGGCTGCATTTTTTTAAAAATCCTGCTCCCTGGTGATTCTATCATCCCAAGAACTCCCCTAACCACAGCCAACTCCCGCCCCCACTTCAGTTAAGCCACTCTTTCTATGGTCTACCCTTCGCCACTCAATTGTGATCTTCACCTTCATTAGGATGGGAGAAATTGGAAGCAATAGAAAGAATGCCTATGTCTCTTTAAACACCGCATTCCTTCTTTTACTCCCAGCAAACAGTGCTAATCCTTTCTCTTCAACTGCTAAGCCCTCAGAAAGGCCCCTGGTGTTCCTGCCAATCAAAGCAAAAGAAATCAGATGAAATAATTAGATATTTTCCCCTAATTTGAAAGGCAAGGGTCAATACCATTCCACTCCTTTATATGAAATAGCCATTCTCAAACCGCCTCCTTGATATTTCTACTTTGCTGACCAAAGGCATCTCAAATTTAACAGATCAAAAGCATTTTTTATTTCCTTCACTCACATATCCATTTCTCTTACAGATTTTCTCACTTCAGTAAAAGGCACCAATACAGTAATGATACTAAAAGGTAACACCTTACATATCTAAGCAAACCTCAAAGCAGCCCGTATTCCCTTTTCCAACTTGAGAAAACAGACCAGAGAGGTAAGTAACGTGCCCAAGGTGACATGACTACTACTAACGAGTAGCCCTGGGATTTGAAACCCAGCAGTAGAGTCGGAAGCCTAGGCTCTTAGCCACTATCCGGCCTCCAGCTCTCTGTCCTGATGCTGTCAAATTCCAAATGCCACCCTCTATTCTCTCCTTCCCTTTCCAGTTCCCTTCTCCACTGTCACATCTGCTCCATCAGTAAATCTTGTCAGATTGGCCTCTGATGTAATATTTCTCTTTGTCTCCACACTACAGCCTTGCACTGAACCAGTCAGTCCCCACTTTAATGAACGCTCAGCTTCCCACCCAGCCTCCCCGATCGCTTTTGTACTCCCACTGCATTTCATTCTGCAGGTAGCAGCCATGCTGACCGTTTAAAACAAATCCGATCAGTTCGCTCTAAGATCCTCCGATAGTTTCCCACTGTCCTCTAAATAAATCCAAACTACTCACTAGGCTCTGGACATACTGGTGTATTGATTTCTTACTGCTGCTGCAACAAATTACTACAGATTAGTAGTTTAAAATGACACAAGTGTACTATCTTACAGTTCAGAGGTCAGAAGTCCTAAAACCAACATGTCACTGGGGATATGTTCCTTCTGTGG